TAGAACATAATGTTACATAAAAAACTATGAGGACCAAAGGGCAACAATGATGGACATTCTGTCTGAGAATAGCAAAAAGGAATACCCAAAGTTAGTTACAAAGCTCTTAAGGCTAGGAGAAAAAAAGATTTCTGCAAGGTGTCCTGTTACTTCATAAACAACATTCCTATATTTACAAATTGTGCTGATTATTAACAGGATACTCTCAGATTTAAGTTAACATCTATATTAAGAATCGCAGAGAGACTGCTGCAATAGAATAAGATGTATACAAGAATGTGCTACAGAAGGCCGGATGGGCATTGCCTAGGCCTTTCTTGTATTTACAGTAATTCTTTATACAATAAAAAATACATGAAAATCTTTACACTATCCATATGCATTGATAATTATGGATTCAGCTCCTTGGTTTCGATTGTTGCATTTATTTTCCATTTCCTTTTCTGTTTTACATGCATTATCACAATTTTTATTGTACATTTTCCTGTTGTCTCCTATTGACAAAGTCTAATCACAGCTGTAGTTGTCCAGTGATTGAGGTTAGCTCTTTCTAATGGACCAGCAGAGTTTGTGTCTTCCACCCCCTCATCTGAGGATGGAAACATCCAGTTTCAAAAACATTGTGTTCATTAGACAGAGTCCAAAACCCAGTAATCCTGAATGTTCTTACCATCAGAACCATTTAGAATCTATACTTATTTTTGTATCACAACATAGCATAATTATGAATGATACACAAGCCATGAAAATCAGTTCTTAATGTACAGGGTCTTTCTAAAAAGATGATAATGTTTTAATTGCATATAGTTACCCAACTACTCATACATAGCAAACGTCACTGTATTTGATGTCTGTGGGTGGCAGAATGTGCTGCCCTTGGTGGCAAATGTTATGAAGCAACATTGACTAACATGGCGTACTAGATAGAACAATGTGTTTTAATGGGATTTTACCAGACTAATTGTGTTGTCAGGATTCAGCGTAAATTCCAAGTGAAATTTGGATGCATGAAAGCATGAAGTAGGTCTGAGTTTGAAATGATGGGGAGTGTGATCAACATTAAGAAGGGTGTTGTCATTAGGAGAAGCTTGTGAGAACACCAGAAAACATTCACCTGTTGAGCAGGCATGGACACAGTCCCAGGAGATCTGTAAAACATCTTTTTCACCATCTAAACTTGGGAATTTCAACATACAGGATAATTTAAGATGTGGAAAATGTTTCTGCAAAGAATTCAAATGAACCCTTTGTGTGGCTGATAAAGGTAGGAGAGTTGACTTATCTAGTGCCCAAGATGTTCACGGAGGACAACCCAGCAATACCTCTAGCCATACTGTTTCATGATGAGGTCCATTTTCATTTGAACAAGCAGAATATGCAGGTGTGGGCCAGTGAACAGCTGCACAGTACAGTGGAGGCACTGTTACACCAAGATCAAGGTGTTCTGGGAAGAACTAATCACCTGCTTTCCCCTGATATGACATGGGCCGCATAGAAAATGATGCCTCCAAAAATTCTGTTGCAGCAGGAACATCTTTACTGAGCTGCTGCCTAGTAATGAAAGAAGGGACACACACACACACACACACACAGACTGATTGGAGGGATTTATGACATACACCGTCGAGATGGACTCAGGTGCCGTGATATATGAGGGTATTAACAAAACAAATGAGGAAAGTTGTTATATAAAAAAAATATGTATTTAAGCTACTTCTCAACATAGTCACTGCCGGAATTGAGGCACTTGTATCAGGGAATAAGTTTCTGTGCTTGTGTCAAAGAAGTCTGTTGCCTCCGAGCTCAGCCCCCCCCCTCCCCCCAATACCTGTATGGCTATTCAGAACAAAAGGTGTAGAATAGTGACATCTGGTGTATTTCTCTCCATGACAATGTGTGTCCACATACAGCTGCTTGCACTCGAGCACTGCTTCAGCAGTTCAACTGGGAGTTGTGTGACCACCCTCCTTATAGCCCAGATCTTGCTCCAAGTGACTACCGCCTGTTTGTTTACCTACCTGAATAACTGGTTGCGATCACAGCACTTCAACAGTGAGGAGTTCATGCAAGGTGTCAAAATGTGGCTGAGCTCACAGGTGGCAGACTTCTTTGTCACAGGCATACAAAAACTTATCCCTTATACGACATGCCTCAGTTCCGGGAGTTGCTACGTTGAGTGGTAGCTTAAGGTGGCTGGTTTCTAATGGCTGCATTTGGGATCATTTAACCCATTTTGCTTCTTGCTTCCCAATAGAGAGCACTCCAGTTCTTGCTTTGTTGCATTTCCTTGTTAAGATTAGGGCATTGAATGTGTTCTTTTCCCATGGATGATCCTGGCAAGTTGCACAGTGTACATTCTTCTGTGTTATATATTCCTATCTTACAAAGATGTACTGCAAGGCAGTCATGTCCTGTATTCATTAAAAAATTTGCAACAGCTTCTTTTCTGGGTTTCTTGCTGTTAATTTCCCAAAGTTTTCCTATTTCTGACCATTTCTTGTTGTATGGTTCTTTGTTGATGGTATGGAGTATTTCTTTACTTGTTTTAGTTTTGAATTTGTAAGCTAGCATGTGGGCACTTAAGATTTTATTTTGGTGGTGCAGTCTTGTGCCCTTCTTTGCCAGTTCATCAGCAATATCGTTTCCATTGATGCGAACATGAACATGTGATGGTATCCATTGAATGTATATTATCTTTTTTGTGTTTTCCAGTAGGTTTATTAGTTCTTTGATTTCAATTATCTGTCTCATGATAGTTATTTTATTTGAGGATATGGCTTGTATGGCTGCTTTTGAATCCACAAGCAGAACTGCTTTATTAAACGTGTTGGGTCTGCTGATTAGTTGTTCCAGTGCAAATAGTACTGCTTCTATTTCTGCATTGAAGTTTGATTTGTTTTTGCCTACCGCTATACAGTGTGTGAAAAGGGATGAGCAAACTTCGGCTCCAGCGTTAGCTTCTTTGCCTATCAGAGAACCATCAGTATATGTGTGTAGCCATTCTGATGATGGGTATTTTTCTTCAATGGTGCTTATTGTTTGTTGTTTTAATTCTTGTGTGTGTTCTGTCTTCTTTACGCCTTCTATTAAGTCAAGGTAGATATTGTAAGAACAACAATGATCTAGTAGATTTTGCATGAGTACAGCATTTTCTACTTCCATTGGTATTTTTAATTTGTTGAAATAATTTGTATTACATCTTATTATGTCTGGTTGTTTTTTTAATTTTTGTTCTGGTGGTATTTGTCTTACCCATGTTATCTCTGGTATGGATTTCATTTTCAAGAATGTTATTGCTGCTTGTTTTTTAATTTCTTCTATGATGAGGAGGTTTTGTGTGTATAATAATTTTTTCTCGGTTCTTGTTTTGTAAACAGGTGACTGGAGGTTACTTTACAAACAGCCCTAATACATAACCAAATGTCATAGATACTGATTCAGGCATTCAAAAGTTAATAGGAGGGATTCACAAATAGAGACAGCATGGGAGATCACAAAAGCTTACTTTAGGAGAAGAGGCTGAAAATGGTGTAGTGTGATCTGTGAACAAGTGGTATTGTAGGTACATTTTTTTTTATGCTGTGACTGGTGATAATTATCCCTGCATCTTCCAAGAAGAATATCTCCATTTCTCCCAGGAATGGCTGTCAATTTCTGACAATTTTTTTTCAACAGGATGGGACAGCTTGGACATTTGTGGTCCTGGTCACCATACTCTTTGGGATTGTAGCCTGTGATTATTTCTTATGGGGCTTTGTAAAAGATACACTTTCAGGTAACTGAAACAAGAAATTGTGGCAACAGCAACAGTGATGAAACTCTTAACTGCAGTTTTATGAAATTTCTGATGTCAACTGGTGATGGTAATGGACACCAGTGTGCACATACTGAATATTTGTTTAGATGATTGTCAGTCTCCAAAGACAACTCCAGAATCATGAAATACCACAATGCTGCTATGTAGTTTGGTAATTATATAAAATTAAAACTGGAATATTTTTTTTTTTTTAGAAAAGACCCTATCTGTGAAATGTCCTTCAGTGACATGATGCTGCAACATAAGAATAGCTTTATTTTTCATACTTGTTTTTATGGAATGTTTTGAGTTTATTTTGACCGTTAGTATCAGTGGCTCTCAAAGAGAGAGTTGTATTCAGAACACACTGTGCAAGTATTCACTTGCACAGTACTGTACTTTATTTGTTACGAAGTTAAACTCCACTGAGATATGAAATATTGGAAATTCTATGGACTTTCTGGAGAATATTTGCAAAGTATCTGCATCAGTCCAGCACAAGCAGTGGTCACACAGGTAATGACAATAGTTCTAAAAAGCACACACCTATGGGATTTGTCTTCAACAAGAGTGAAGATTTAGGTGATGGTTATCTCAACTGTGAAACAATTCTGGTTTGTCCAGGACTTGGTAACTACTACCAGACTATATGGTATCATAACCCAAAATGTAATAATTTAAGCACATAGTTCTTGTGCCCCAAAGACAGAAATAGCAGGTTCCTTCCAAATGTTTGTAGCTACCAACCAAGCTACAGGGCAACACATTCCAGAAGACTGTACATATATTTAATGTTCATCACTGTAAGAACTCAAAATTTCATATGGTTAGTAGATATATATTCATAAAAAAATAACTGAATTAATAACAGTTCCTAATGTATTTTCTGTTTTAATTACAAAACCAGATGATTTCTGAAAAGTGATACAGTGCAATGAAAAACTAACTAGATGGTGTTATTATTTATTGTATATAATGGCACTTGAAATGAATAGATATATATATATACACAGTTCATAAATTTAACAGAAATAAACAATGTGTGAGTTAACATTTAGGTGTTTTCCCTGCACAACAAAATATGAAAATAAAATGAGTCTGCACATTCGCTTTAGAGCCCTAAGTTGTATGTATAATTATGTCACTTATCAGCAGTTACCAGCTTGTTCAGTAATTGAATCCAAACAACACCAAAAACGCGTGCTGAAGTTTCTCTCTGCTGCAACTACTTTATGTTATGCATTACACTGTCATCTTCACATAACACACAAATTTGACCCATGCAACATTGGCAGAAATACCATGTCCAATATTGGTGATACATATTTCACACTGAATGAATGTTAATTTTTATAGCTGCGCATGTTAAATTCTGTATCTCACTGATACACACCATGTGCAAAAAGCTAAACCAATGGGAAAGAATTACCCCTTTTTAACTGCACACATATGAATCTTTCATCAAAGGCAGTAATTCTCAGAACACTTACTTATGGCTTATAGTGGGCTGAATTTAGCTATTCCTTTGTCCTTTTGTAAGAGAAGTAAACACTGAATGAACTGCTGTTTGCTGAACCAGACCAAGTATACACAAGTTTTCACTCATCAGTATTTATATCACAGAATATACATGATTCAATCATTACCTGCAAGCTATAAGGGAAGGAATGCTGTGACATGGTATGAACAAAGGTAAGAAAGTTAAGGCCCTCTATGTGGGTTCCCATTAAGTAAAGTCCTGTGCTCTGAGAAGCTGTGTCGTCTTGAGGCAGCTACACTGCCGGATGGGGATGTGTCAATCATTTCCTCCTCTTCCTCCTGATTGGCCAATTGATACCCATTGTTGCTTTCTACACGGTACTTCTCTCCATGTCGAAGGGCCAACCACCAAAGTGCAGTGAAGGTCACAATGCAGAGCACATTTATCAGAACTGCTGAATGCATCAGCGTGGCGGGATTGTTCACCATAAGCCGGTACACTGCAACGGGACATACTATCTCCCCTAGAGATGCTCCCACCACAAAGGCTGCAGCCACTTTGTTAGAGACATGGATATAACGTTCAATCCAGAGTATGCCTGTGGGAAAAACAGATGCGAGGCCGATCCCAAGCAGAGCTGTTCCTACCCATAGTGCTGTTTCAGTATGACTAGCCATAGTAGACAGAAGAATAGTCCCCAGAGTACAGAAAACAAAGTTGAGGAGCAGCATGGTGATGGGGCCAAACCCACTGGAGAAGAAGATGGCTGCAAACCGCATAGCTGCAAATGAACCCCAAAAAACAGTAGCAATCACAAGGCCAGTCGATTGAGCAAGCTGGAGGTCACCATGCACAGCAAATGCTAGTACCAGTTTCCCATATGTTACTTCTAAGCCCACATACAAAAGAAAGAAGATAGCCATCAAACTTACAAGCAAAGCATGCAAGGCTCTGTTTGAAATCTTAGTACCTGGCCCCTCATCTTGTTTTGATTTGGGGTCTCTAGGATTGTGGCACAAGAAGCCCAGAAATACAAGCGACATTGCAAATACAAATGATCCTACCATAAGATATGTAAATTGCACTTTGCTGAAACCGTATCTTTCTATTCTGTTGGCTACAATGTCAAATAATGAGTTTATTTCCTCTGTATCATTATCATATGTGACTGGTTTGGAGTGGTGGATATGTCTGGAAAGCAAGTTTCCAGGTGGAAATGTATCTGATACTGCTGCTATCATATTTAATTTGAAAGTTGAATCTTCTGTGCTAGAAATGATTCTATGTTCCCCATTAACTCTGCTGTCAGTATCTTGCATAAGTGACTGAGGGCTATTGCCTTCCTTTGATATGCCCATGGTTGATTTCACGTGTGATACAATAACCTCTGTCTCACCAGATGGTACAAATTCTTCAGGTATTTTAGAAACAGTGTAAGCATGTGTCCTGAGTAATTCATTGTGTGAAAGAGATGCTGTAACTTCTGAGTATGATGACAAACTGATCTTGGGATCAGAGCCTTCTGTGGAGACTGATACAGTTAGAGAATCAACTGCTGGAGTAGGTGTTCTCCCACTGACATTTATGAAATTCATACTGTTACCTCTGATCAACAAGTTCTCTGTAACATTTTCAGTGGAAGACTGCGTAGCACTGTTTACAGTATTTGGTAGAGAGGGAACTGTTTTGCTACAGTCAGTGTCCTTCCCATCGTTTATACTCCCAAAGGATCCAGTAACATTTGTGATTTTATATACAGGACTAGGAATTATCTTAACTTCCTTGACAAGAATAGTGGTATCATTTGCTGCTAGCTTCAAGGTTTGCTTCTGTGCAGAATATGATTCTGAAGTGGGAGACAGGAATGGAAACATGGTCCTTCTAGTGGAACTTGCAGTCATGCTGGTACCAATGGACAAAGAAGCTGTTGTAGAGGAGATTGGTTCGAGATCTTCCTTTGGTAGAGCTCCAACATGAACATCGTCCCAGTTTTTATTACCAAGTGAACTAGCATTTGTTTTGGAGGGTTTCCGTTTTGGTACTCTGTGTGTTGTGGCAGAAGGCTGGGCAGTTGTTTCATTTGCATCTATGTCATCCATTGCTTTCAGTTCAGCAGACTGCAGATTGGAGCTTATGCTTACAGGAATTTCTGGAACCACTGGACTTGAAGGTTTGGAGACATTTTCTAATGATTTTGTAGTAACTTCAAGGGAATTGCTCTTTAGAGGCTCCACATTAATAATTAATTCTGTGATATTTTCTCCATTTTGTGACAATTCTCTCTTCTGACGATCCACCCCAATTCTATTCAGGTCTGAAACTTGGAAAGGGATAACGGTGCTGACCATCTGTGTGGGTAAAACACTGGTGGTTGGTTGCAGAAATGGTGCAGCCAGCAATGGTGCAACAAAGGCCCCAAGCCCAAAACTGAAGTGAAGGGCCTGCATGAACGGCCCACTGTTTCGTCCCCACAAATCCAAACACAGTACATTGCCACCTGAAAAATAGGAAACAATTAGTACATTTGTCAGTAACAACCAATATCAGTCTAATATCAAAATTTGGTATCCAATGGCAGTTAATTGAATTTTAGCACTTATAAAAGTTTAATTAAAATGGAAATTCCACAGAAAGAATAACGCAGCTTTGTTTTCTGTATTACTACTGTGAGGAACTTACACTGAGGAAGCCTCCCAGTGTAATAACAACTACTTCAGTACAAGTTATATCAATTAAATGATTACAAGAAACCTAAAATCCTTACATATTCTGTTACTTACACAGTACAAAAAATTGCCATAATTTAACAACTACTCCATTTTAAATGTTGCACACTCTTTCAGTCACCTTGTTTGCTATCATATATATCAGTCATAAGACATCCAGTGATCAGTGCATTAACATCTGGGTCATACTCTACGAAAGTACAGACATGAATATACTACTACCACAAGAAATCCCTCCTTTCTAGTCTCAATTCTGAAGGCCAGTGACATGATAAACTGATTTTGTTTTCTGTAATTTACTGAGAATGGGCCATACTATTCAGACAGGAGAACAAATATATCATACAAAACACAGATATGAAATTAACCATTCAGGCCTTCAATTTTTATTACCTGTGTCAAGAAAGCCCATTGTCATACCAAGGAGCACCATGCACGCTATCAGCAACCATAGCACATGACACCAAGGAGTGACTGTAATAAATATGGCTGTCAGAAGGAGACTAATGAAGAGCAGGAACAATCGGTTGTAGTGATCAAACAAGATTCCACCTGCAAAAATATCAATAATACCAGCTTATAGAAATTATGTTACCCCCAATACTTCAAGTGAGTGCAGTAATCTTCTGTATATTTTCCATTGCACTACATACATTTGAAGCTGGGATAGCTCAGCCAGTATACTGACGGACTATGAACTGGACAGCCTGGGTTTCAAGCAAGACAGTTTTCTCCTACCTAATGGGTACTGCGATAAAGCAGCTGAGGCATGAAGCTGACCACTTCTATCTAGTGCCAAGGTCAAGAATGGTGGAGCTATTCCTTCACTCCACCATATGTCTTCATGGTGTGATGCTTAATGGATGAAGCACGGGGCCAACTTTACCTTACCTTTATTACAGTCATTTCAGTCCTTGCTGGCATATACATAAAATAACCATACATTAATATTTTGTGACAAAAAGTTTAAAATCCCAGTGAGTTATGGTCATCATTTAAAATTACACATGCTAGTGTTCATTAAATTTATTACAATACTGTATATAGTCAACAAACATGACATAAAAGTTAAAATTTAAGCACGAAGTTCATTGTCAAGGTGACAGTCTTCTGGGATATGTAACTGTGTAGTTGGTAGATGAGTACTAATGTTTTGGAGGAACCTGCTGCCTCCATCTTTAGGGTACTCAACATAACTTAATTATTGCACAAGAATTATTTTATGCTGAAAGTTTGCATGTAATACCATGAAAACTTAGGTTATACAGTGTGATCATCTGAGAGCCATTTGCTCATTCTAGCAGGGGAGTTAGATGTGTCAGTCTGGGCTGGTTGGTTGTGGACCCTGCAAAGCAAGAGGCTATGCACATCACTATTTCTCAGTCAGAACTATTCCAGTAAACTGCTCAACAGCCAACATTATGTAATTTTATGTTACATGCCTGACCACTGGGGTCAAACAACTGTCATCTTGTAAGGTTTCAATTTCACAATTTTTGTGGCAGTCCATGCTGCCGCTCTTGAAACCCCGTCTCATGTGAAAGATGTGAGGGATTTTCGAGAATAATGTTTAAACCTTTCACTCCTTCATGTTCCTCTGCAGTGAGGGTACAGCATTCTGACTTGATTCTTTCTCTGTGCAGTAATGACCTTGTCTTCATTTATTTGTGATTATGCAGACAGATTTTCTGTCTGGAACTGTAACGTCTGAAATTTATGCTGAAACATTCTCCTTACTTTTCTTGTACAACTTCACATAGGTATCACAATATGTAACTCGCACATGGCATTTTCACACAAGATTGAACTCATAGTACAGTAGCAGGGGCTTGGAATTACAACACACAGACTGACTTCACAATAGCTTTTCACTGATTTATTGGGGTGATGTTAAAGAGAAAGTGTCATGAGTGGAGGCTCTTGATTTGCCAAGTTCACTACCAGCTGATCTAACGTGACATGAGGAGTAATCACCTCTCCAACTTCAGATGATCATACTGTATTTTTAAAATAGAAACAAGTCTGTACCATCAAAATAGATAAAACGGGTTTTACATACCCATAACTGAGCCAATTAAGTACCCAGAAGATCTTGCAGCATAAATGCTTGAAACTGGTGATGCATCTGCTTGCAGGTCTGTTACTGGAGACAGAAAAGTTGGACCAGGAATTGCAATGCATAGCCCCTGAAATAATACACTTGATTTGTAAAGGTCATGTAATTTTTTGCCAGGAATAGTGTTTCAAGTGCAAGACAAAGAATCTTCCTTTTAACCCTAAAGACAGAGTAGAATCCTTTGTGAAACTTGTGTAATGGGAAAAATTAAGGACCAACCTCATGGATTGTGCATAATTTTAGATCAGACTAATGTCTTCACGTGAAAAGGTGGTGTCAAGTCTTTTGTATATGTTTTAAGGGCAGATGTACAGGGAGGTTCCCACCTTTGTTGACTGGTACATTACTGGCTGCAAGGCACATATGAATTTTGCCAGTGAATCAATATGCCTGTTGGCCGATAATGTTTGGAATGAAGTACAGTCAACTCTCAATTAACCGGGGCTACTGAGGCTTATATGTTGTTTAATATTAATTCACTTTTGTTTCACATGGTGAGTTGTAACAATATTTTCGCACTAGTGTGAACCGAGCTCTGCATTCTTTGGTCCCATTATGCTAACACAATGTTCTAGGGTAGGGGTGAAAGAATGCAAGGATTTGTGGAAAGTTTCAAGGACAGATACATCACCCCAGTTAGTATCTTTGTATTGATCTTCAAGTGCATTAGCAAAATGTCAGGGTATAAAAGGAAGCGTGTTGTGTTAAGTATTCAACAGAAACTTGAAATTATCAATCAGTTGGGAAAAAGAGATGTAGTTAAACAATTAGCAATGCAATACAGTATTGGAGAACAAACAGTTTGAGATTTGAAAAAAACAAAAGTGAGAATGACGAAGAGGTGGACAGTGCTGCTCTTAATAATTTGGAATCCTTGCTAGACTATCTTCAGAGTGAAGAGAATCGTTTATTAAGTGACAAGATAATATTTCGTAGGCTTCATACGGATATCCATAAAGAGGAAAATGCTGCGAAAAAGCAAATGACAATATTAAATTTTTTAAGTGTTAAATGTTGGATGTGGTTTGAACGGCTGTTGTACTGCGATGTGGAAAGCAAATGGAAAAACTACCACATTATCACTTTTCCTGGATAGTCTCTTTCCAAAAACAGAAGATCGCATTAAGTGGAGGAACTATTTTGGAAGAGACTGTGGACCTGTCATCTGACAGATTACTGATGAATGAATGAATGAATGAATGAAGTGTTGGATATTGTTGAACACTGTGATTGAAATAACTAATTCATACTTCAGTGTAATGTAAAAAAAAGTATTAACTAGGCCATGAGATGACATAAAAATGAGGTTGAATAAATTTAAATACAGGTAGGCCTGTAGTATTACGAAGGTACAGTATTACAGTACTACTATTAATAAAATTTGTCTTAACCGGGTTTTCTATTAATCGTGATTTCCATCCCCACCATTATCCCGGATAATGGAGAGTTGAGTGTAGTTACAATTCACAGATCACAGGAGGTGTTGATAATGCTGTCCATCTACACGCAGACATTCCTCGCACTAGAAGAAGTGGTTCTGATTTACCCTTTGAAACTGTTCTACAGGAAATTTGCAATTTCCCTATGAATATTTTCTTTTAGTTCTTCTTCTGTTTGGGCGTTACTGCTGTAAACTTTGTCCTTCAAACAATTCCAGAATAAGAAATCACAAGGAGTAAGATCAGGTGAACTTGCTGGCCAAATATCACTGCTGATAACTATGTCCCCAGAGCCTGCATAGATATTGTGACATATTGGACTATGGAGGACATCCCCTCCCCTGCCAGCAGTGACATAACAACATCGGGCGCTGTCGCTACTACAGTAAAAAGCCAGTCAACACTCCACTCCCCTCCCCTGCGGTGACGTAGTGGGGGATGCCGCAGTTGCTATGTAGCAGTAAACAACTCTCGACAGCATGGCCCAGCAGCACCTGTAAACACAGTGAATAGGCAACAAGGAAGCGAGGCATTTTCCTGTTGTCTGGCTGAGGGTTTATAAGAGAACTGCACTGCCTAAGGAGTCAGTTGAAACACAGCCGCCGCCGAAGGCAGTTAAAATGTAGCAGCTGCCAAAGACAGTTGAAATATAGAAGCAGTCGCGGGAAGAAGACCCAAGCACGTGGTTAGAGGATTTGATGTGATAATTTGTGATACTGCTGATGGCAGTAATTGTGAGATTGTAAATTGTGTGATTGTGAGAGCGAGTGCTCAATAAATTCGCTATATCAAATACGGCATGAAGTTATTTGTCGCGTTATACACCCAACATGTGACAATATCTATGCAGGGTGAGCAGTAGCCGAGTCTTACTGAAACCAGCCACAGAGTCTTTCTTCTTCTGGTAACTCTGGAAAGAATTCCCCAAGAATGAGCTGTACATAATGTTGCATGTAAAGACCAGTGGCTAGGCAATGACTGCAAAACAATGTCCATTGCTAGACAGCAGTCTTGACAAGCAACAACTGAACTACTATGGGGACAATGTTTTCTGTGTAGTCTGTGCCAAGATGTGACAACCAGAACATGTGGGGGCTGCAGTTAGTTAGTTAGTTAGTTAGTTAGTTAGTTGGTTAGTTAGTCAGTCAGTCAGTCAGTCAGTCAGTGAAGAGAAGACTAGGAGGTTAGTGTGAGATGGCTCCCAGCCTGGGAGTTAATCAGTTGGAGCAATGAGAGTGTTGTGGGATATTCACCAGCTGGTAAGGATACTAGCAGAGGACACTGTTAGGATCTGTTACCAGGAAATGACTAGTGAAGACTTTATGTGTACTGCAGTTACAGTGATCTTAAGAGTGTGAGGCTGTTATAGTTACTTGTAGTTACAAGCTGTATATATCAGTGTTCAATAAATCGACTCACCAATTGCAATTAACTGTTTCATTAAAAAACACACATCCAACAATCCTTCTTGCACTTACAACACACCAGATACTGACTTATACTGGTTGGAGCAGGACTTCATGGGTTAGATGTGGATTCTGTGAACCACAGTAGTGTATTTAGTGTATTTATGTATCCCTACCAGTGAAATCACGCTTGGTCAGAAAAGAATGCCAAGTGTAGATCGATCTCACCTTCGACGACAGATTGCTGATACCAACTGCAAAAATGAACCCTGCTGGCTGGATCATGTGGCTGCAAGGTGTGCATGGATTACTGTTGTTTTACAGGGTCTAAGCTTCAGCAACTATGTTGCCCTTCTTGCACTAGATTTTGACAAGCCAGTCTCTTGAGCTAGACATCTGAGTGATTTGCTAGGTGTGTGTCCAAGTCTGGCTCCTATGTCATCTATGTTTTCTTTTTCTTGTCTATTAAGAATCCTGTTGTTCTAAGTTTATTCACCAAATTATGAATTGTTTGTCTGCTGGGAACTTTTTATCACAAAATTCATGTCAAAACTTTTGCCGACACCTTTTAGCAGATCTGTATTTCACATGGGTGACATACAGAAGTACACCTTGTTCTAAAGTGCAATGATGTAATACACTGCTCACTAATTGTAACAGGGAACAAATGGCTAATGGACCTGGTAACTGCCACCCATTGCTGACAAATCATAAACAAATTCCCACGCATGAGCCACACTGCTCACCGTGGAACATAATTCCATCAAGCGGACCACAAAGTTAATAACTTCTCATAATTCCAAACGTTACTGTTCATCAGGCACACTGATTCACTGGCAAAATTTGTATGCACTGGTCATCATGAAATGCAGAGCCCTGAACCAGTCAACAAAGGTAAGAACCTCGATGTATAAATTAGCAAGTCCAACTATTTTCCTATGCGTTGCAACTTTCCAGCTCTAATGGTGTGAAAGGGTGGAGAAAGTTGTAAGTGAAACCCAAGAAATTACAGTATCAGGAAGCTTCTGACCTATTAAAATGAACAGATAATTTTGGACTCTCCTTTACAAAAAAGGCTGGTACCCTGTCTCAGCCCACCCAAATCCTATAACTGATTTGGAGTCATTTTTGTGAAGAAAGTCTCACCAGGCCAAAGAAAGCTCCACAGAGTCCAAGAGTTTTTGCAAACAGTGCACATTTTCCGCTAGACATTCTCCGTATGGCAGTATTCATTTTAGTTGTATTGCTTAGTAATCCAGCTTGGTCAAATACAATATCCTCTTCAAAGGGATCTTCTTCTTCCCTATAGGATGCCATGACAGCAAGCAATGTGCTGAATCACACGGGTTGTTAATCATGAAGCTCATCAGTCTAAAATTTAAAAAAATGAATAAGTATTAACCTTTTAAAGCACAGTGGTTACTATATAAACCACCTGCTCTAATATTAGAAATTCTGTATTTTGTGCACAGAATATATTAATGGTTTTGAATGAGTCTCCTGAACAGAATTAACTGGTCTTTGTAATGGAAATGCAGTTTTCTCTGTTGCAGGAACAGAATTTTTAAATGTTATTTTGTTGAATTTGAGGCCTCAATGTAGTAACTACCTCATACAACTAATGACATACATACCATCTGGGATATCTTTTCATGCAACTAATCATTTGTAAGTCCTGTTCTGCCTAACCAGAATTTACAAACTCTTTTTTTTTTTTTTTGCTTTTGGCAAATCCAAAACTTTCATAAAAAACATACATGAGCATAAGATTACATATTCATTAGTTATGCCATAGTATGTGTTGGAACAAACGTCAGTTTCATCAAAACCGAAAGCAGATGTGCATTGTTCTTGCGATTATATTATGCTAAATATGTATAAAAAGTAATAAATTTTAAGTGGTAAAAATATTTATTAAATGCAACTCATGTTTCTTAACATTAAATACAAACTTTTGTACAAAACCTTATTAACAAGGGTTGCTTGATAAAATGCGGTTCATTCATTTAGACTTTGCTTTTGTAGGACAAGGTTTCTTTGAATATTACAAAGGCATAACTCACCACAAAACCTGCTGATGATATTACATGGCGCATTAAATTGTTTTTTAAATGCCATTAAAGGACAAGTACACTGTGAGCGTACGCTAATGCAACATACTGTCAAGCAAACATCAAACCATACGTCATTTACCTCTAATTCATCGCCTGCGATCGAGAATGATCGATAATTATTATATCCGTACGTACGCCTACTTTTAGGTTTCGCTGATTTCTGTTACACTAGGCGCTTTTCAATTCTCACCCCCCCCTCCTTTTCCATCAAGCATTTGACATTCTTCACCTCTACTCCACACATGATGGCAGCACAAGTCATAATCTCGCATGGCGTAGTAATTGCGATCATTTCGATATAGTGTACTTGCAAAATCCACGGTTCTCACCTCGCGCGTGCGTCTACTACGGCGTTTTTAAGCTGAGGTTTAATAACCCGTCATTTCGATAAAATGACAGCTAGGTCTTTTTTTAAAAATGCAAACGACATGAGCAAATGAAACGTGTACTAGGTATGTGTATTATGAATACTGCCATCTAATGCTAGCAATCAGTAATATGTAACTGTGTGTAGACGTCATGTTATGTTGCCAGTCATTGTTCATCTGGTATTTATGTCATGAAACTCTGTACGAATACAAATTATATATATGTTTAGAAAATTGGTTACTATAAGCATAATAAATATAAGTTAATAAAAACAGTTTCATGGGTAACCTATCGTTATCATGAAACAAATTACTTCCAGTTGCATTTGCTCAAAAATTAAGACGTGTTTGCTATTGTTGTATGGGAGACCGACGACTGATTGATTAGTGGAAGAAGGATTAAGATAATATTAGCGCCTTAGTGCGCTCTACTGCTTCAAGTTATTAATGGTTTCGATAGCTCGTTCGTATGTTTACATATAATAGATAAGGGTAAGGTTGTCCCTGTGCCTAACTAATTAAGTAATACGCCATCAAGGCACATGAGGATTGAATGTATAGATCCACATTCTTTCGACCTCTTGACCTCGCATTAGTTGCAAGTGGGTGGTCAGCTTCACGCCCCGGGCCGCTTAACCCCCAAGGAAAAACCCCCGGTAACCACTGTATAGGTGGCTAGATTGATCTCAGACATCTCAGAGCCGGTCTGGACGACATGGAGAAGTGAAAATTCTTACCGCTCCGGGACTCAACCTCTGGCTCCTCCATCCTCCAATCCGTAGCCAGTCGATATACCGACTGAGCTATCCCGGCCTATAAATAGGTGAAGCCTATATTCGTACACATTTGGTAGTAAAGAACATACGCGCAATACGAATAAGAGCTGGAGATGTTCATGGAGTTAATTACTGTAAGCGTTATGAAAATAAATTATGTAGAGTGCATGGGTAAGCTATTTCAGTCCTAAATAACATGACTTTCAATTTCATTTCTTCAGGGATCTGACATTGGACATCGAAGAAATTTTCTTATAAGGTTACCGTTTTGGTGGGCCGTGTTCGATCAAAAAGCAGACTAATTACTTAACCCTGATAGGTCGGATCTTTGCAGCTACATGACAAATCACGGCAACAATATACAACTACGCGATTGTTTACTCACAATTTAAATTGTCATGGTCCCATTGGTCCTCCCTCAGGATCCAATAAAAGACGACCTTTTCTGTTTTGCGACTACATGTTTCAAGGTCAAAAGAAGTTACCGGAATTCGGAGGAGTGAAGATGTCTTCTTTCTTGTAAAAGGAAGCCGATTTTACTAAAGTTTTAATATTAGAGAAGCTCGAGAGGAAAAAAGGTATATATTACTTGCTCTGTCTTGCATTGTGTGTTAGGATGTCACTTTTAGTGCATGTATTCTTTTTGAAGCCCCGTGTAATGAGTCCATAAACCACATATTAAACTTAGAGATATCAGTTTTGACGATTATGTGGAGGATAAACAACGAATAATTTCAACTTTCATAATCGTTAGGGTAGTAATTAACAATACGACCTACTTAGCGGAAATATACTTCGTTGTTAGGCACTAAAATTTTAAATGCCCTGGTACACGTAACGGTTTCCATCGCAGGCCCACAAACATGTCACCAGTTCATCATTCATAAAACGCAAAACGTCGGGCTGTCTTTGAATTACACCTTACAGCCCAGAAGGCACACTCTTTCAGAGTCCTCATATCGAACATGGTTCTAGTGTTTTAACATATTTTCATTGTTTATTCTCATACAATACCTACTGGTGTATAAGATGTGCTGTGACTTTTTAGTCCATTTTAAGGAAGAAAAACCTTGGGAATCCAGAAATATAAGAGTTTGTTTGCCGTGAAGCAGATCAACCTCAGAGTGCTGCAGTTTCTGACTTTGATAAGGCCAAATTGTGCAAGGCATGCTACGCTATTAGATTCTTAAGACCCTTTGTATCTCAAGAATCTTTGAGAATGATTTATTTCTCGTATTTCCATGCAGTTATGTCATATGGTATAATTTTTGGGTGGAATTCCTCACATAGTAGCAATGTATTTAAACTACAAAAGAGGGTTATAAGAATTATTACGAATTCTGGAAATAGGGACTCCTGCAGGGACCTGTTCAGAAAACTAGAAATATTGCCGTTCTATTCTCAGTATATTTTTTCATTATTAAAATATGTAATTAATAATTCTTCTCTATTCAAAACAAACTCTGAGATTTATGATCTTAATACTAGAAATAAAAATAATTTTCACCTTTCACTACCAAGGTTGGCAATCTATAAAAATGGTGTTTATTATATGGGTATTAAAGCATTTAATCATCTACCTCCCTACATAAAGGAATTATCAGAGGATAGGATCCAATTTAAAAATGTCCTAAAAATTATCTTTTATTGAATTCCTTTTATTCATTGAAGGAGTTCTTTGATGGTGAAATTTGGTGTTAAGGATGACATTGACGTGTTCATCCTATGGATGTATCTATGGAATTGGAATTTTACCTGATATATAGAATGAATTAGATGAATATAATTTTATGTTTTGATGAAATATTACTATAAATTTTATATTATATAATGAATTTTTATAACTTTGACTCATGCCTTAGCATACAGCTTGTTTATATTGTATCTGGTTTACTGTTATCAATTGTTGTATTGGAATATTGTCTTATCTCACATAATTTTGTCAATTTTATTAATGAAGTGAACCAGAATTAGAATTTTGATATTGTATCCGATGTAAATTTGTTTATGTATGTCCGCTTTATGCTTTATAATTGTTTGCATGTATGTTTGTTTTGTTTTTTGTTTTTGACATGTTTCAATTAATTATTGTAACTTAAATTTTGATCTTGTGACTCATTCTATATCCTATGGCTTGTGTTATGCCTGTATCAGGATCAATTAGAAAGTGAAATAAATGAATGAATGAATGAATGATAAATAATTTGCTGTAGAGTTTTTTCAGTTTAAGAATTTCGTAAAATAATCGTATGTGGCGTTTTAATTTCTCAGAGGTGAACATAGATACGTTATAATGATAGCACCTTTTTAAGTGTACTGTCTTGAAATGACGTATATTTGCCAATTAGCTACTTTGCCACAGAAATCTTTCTTTAGAAAGTGGTATGAACTTGGTCTTTGAATATGATGGATCTTATGAGTGGGGACCTTTAGTGACTTGCTCATTGACTTTACCATTTATAAGTAAAGTATGTTGTTTGACTGTTTTCCTTCAAGTGAATTAGTTGAGTGGATGAGGCAGTGCTTTGAAGCTGTCTTGTGATCTGGTGAGGCTAATTCTTAGAGGCCAGTAATTAGTTATATGCAAGTCAGAATTATCTGTGGGTCTTTCTGGCACCACATGAAGTCATGAAGTTGAAGCTGTTTAGAATTGTCAAGTCTAAGAGGGTCAGTTCCACGTTTGGTGGTGTATTGAGCGATTGTGTATATTTCTGTCCCTATTTTCAATATTCCCATTAGTTGCTATTTTATGATAGTCACAAAAAGAGAGCCTCAAAATGAAAGAGTTTGTGGACCTCTGGCACTGACAGAATGCCTTGATT